GCGCTTCCTCAGCGACGCGCAGCCGCTCGAGGCTCGCGACGGACGCCGCGGTCCAGGCGGCTTCGCGCTCCGCCTGCTCGGCCCACTTGCTATCCAGGACGCGCTGGCCCTCTGCTTGGAGCGCGCGCCTCCTTTCCGCGACCGGGAGGCTCGCCTCCTGCTCGGTCTTGAGCTGCGGCGCTTCCGCCTCGGCGACGCGCGGCAGCTCGAGGCTGGTTTCCGGAGCCGCGACCCGGGCGGCTTCGCGCTCGGCCTGCGTGCTTTCGACGACGCGCTGACCCTCCGCCTTGAGCGATCGCGTGTCGATCCCGGCCGGGAGAGGCGCCTCCTGCTCCGTCGTGACGGCTCCCGCCTCGGCGACGCGCAGCCAGTCGGGGCCGGACGCGGCGCCCGCGGACTTGAAGTCGCGGTCCTTGCCCTTGAACGCGCCCGCCGTGGACGCGAAGTGGTCCATGTTGCCGGAGGCAGCCTTTGCCGGGGCGGCCGCGGCGGAGGCCGCGGAAGACGCCGCCGCCGAGCCGGAGAGCCATCCGGGCTCGGACGCGGCGCCCACGGACTTGAAGTCGCGGTCCTTGCCCTTGAACGCGCCGGCCGTGGACGCGAAGTGGTCCATGTTGCCGGAGGCAGCCTTTGCCGGGGCGGCCGCGGCCTTGGGGGCGGCCGCGGGCGCGGGGGCGGCCGCGGGGGCGGCGGAGCCGGAGAGCTCCAAGAGGCTCGCGATAGACGGGAGCGATCGCGTCTCATCCTCGGCAGCAAGAACTGCCTTCTGGTCGGCCAACCGCTCCAGGCTCAAGGAGGCCGCCGCGGTCCACGCGTCCCACTGGTCTTCCAGGCTGCGCTGGCCCTCCGCGCTGAGCGATCGCGTCTCGTCCGCGACCGGGAGGCTCGCCTCCTGCTCGGCCTCGAGCTGCGGCGCATCCGCCTCGGCGACGCGCGGCCGCTCGAGGCTGGTTTCCGAAGCCGCGGCCCAGGCGGCTTCGCGCTCCGCCTGCTCGGCCGCCGTCGCCGCGAGCATGCGCTCGCGCTCCGCCCGGCGCGCGCGCTTCTCTTCTTCGGCGGCGAGGAGCCGCGCCGCTTCCTCCTCGGCGGCGCGAAGACGCTCTTCTTCGGCGGCGAGGAGCCGCGCCGCTTCCGCCTCGGCGGCGCGAGACCGCTCTTCTTCGGCGGCGAGGAGCCGCGCCGCTTCCGCCTCGGCGGCGCGAAACCGCTCGAGGTTGGCTAGCGAAGCCGCGCGCCAGGCGGCTTCGCGCTCCGCGTGCTCGGCCGACTCGTCGTCCAGGATTGCCTCGACGGCGGGGAGCGCCTCGTGCCCGGCCTCGAGCTGCGCGGCTTCCTCCTCGGCGACGCGCAGCCGCCCGAGGCTCGCGACGGACGCCGCGAGCGACGAGCCTTCGCGCGACGCCCGCTCGGCCCGCGTGCTCTCGAGGACGCGCTCGCCCTCCGCTCGCGTGTCGATCTCGGGGGGGAGGGGCGTCTCCTCCTCGGCCTTGAGCTGCGCCGCTTGCTCCTCGGCGACGCGCTTCTCCGCTTCGAGTTCGCGGAGCGCCTGTTGTTCGGCCTCGAGCCGCGCCGCCTCCTCCTCGGCGACGCGCCGCCGCTGAAGGCTGGCTAAGCCCAGTTCGGCCGCCTGCTGCTCGAGGATGCCGCCGCGGCCGCCGTCGTCGAGCGGCGCCGAGCGCTCGTCGAAGGCGTTCTCGACGATCGCGGGCACGTCCGCCACGAACTCGCCGAGCTGCGCCGCTGCATGCTCGGCGACGCGCTTCGCTTCCTCCTCGGCGACGCGCCGCCGCTGGAGGCTGGCGAGCCCCAAGTCGGCCGCGTTCTGTTCGAAGACGCCGCCCGAACCGGCCGCCTTCCGCTCGAGGGGGGCGCCGAGGCCGCCGCCGCCGAGCGGCGCCGAGCGCTCGTCGAGGGCGTCGCCGACGACGATCGCGGGCTCATCCGCCACGAACTCGTCGAGCCGCGCCGCTCCCTCGGCGACGCGCTTCGCTTCCTCCTCGGCGACGCGCTGCCGCTGGAGGCTGGCTAGCCCCACTTCGGCCGCCTTCTGCTCGACGTCGCCGAGGCCGCCCGGTTCGGCCGCCTTCTGCTCGAGGGGGGCGCCGAGGCCGCCCGGTTCGGCCGCCTTCTGCTCGAGGACGTCGCCGAGGCCGCCGCCGCCGAGCGGCGCCGAGCGCTCGTCCTCGACGACGATCGCGGGCTCGTCCGCCGAGAACTCGTCGAGCGCGCCGGCGGCGCCGCCGCCGAGCGGCGGCACGTGGCCCTTGCCGTTGTCGAAGCGCTTGAGGCTCGCGCCCGTGGCGGCGAGCCACGCGGCGTCCCGCGAGGCCCGTCCGGCGCGCCGGCCGTCGGATCGGAGCGATCGCATCTCGTCAACGGCAGCGGGCAGCTGCGGCGCTGCCGCCTCGCGCGGCCGCTCGAGGCTCGGGCCCGTGGCGGCGAGCCACGCGGTGTCCCGCGGGGCCCGTCCCGCGCGCCGGCCGTCGGATCGGAGCGCGGCCGCGGCCGCCCGCGCCTCGAGCTCCGCGCGCTCGACGTCGACGTAGGCGGCCTTGGCGGGTGCGACGGATTCGACGGCCGGCCGCTCGAGGCTCGGGCCCGCGGCCGCGAGCCACGGCGGGAGCTTTGCGTTGGGAGCGTTGGGCGCGGGCGCCGGCCGCGCGCCGGGCGCGACGGCGTCGCCGCGCGGGCCCTTCCGGAGGCGCTTGAGCAGCTGCCCCGCGCCCGACTCCTTCCCAAAGACTTTGAAGGGGACCTCGGCCGCTCGTTCGAACGTGGAGAGGACCCCGCGCAGGGCCGTCGCGCGCAGCTCCGACGGCGGCGTCGTGAAGGCGGCGACCGCCGCGAAGAGCGCGCACCAGCGCAGGCGAACCATGCTTCTGAGTGCTTTACTAGTAAGTATGCACGACGACACGCATATGACGCTCTAAACTATACGGCGCCGCGAACGCCATAACCCGCCGATTCTCAAGAAGCACCTTCAACGGCGACATCGACCTCAACTGAGGCGCGCGACACATCTCGGAAGCTAGGTACCCACCGACGTGCAATGGCGCAAGAGAGGCGCGCCTTGGTACTGCTCGACGCAAAAATCGGCCTCAACCAGAGGCTTGCAGTCCAACATGAGCAACGGGGTCGTCGCCACGCAGCGGCTGCTGAGGGGATACCATCCGAGCTGCTCCCGCGGCCGCATGGCGGTAGTGGTCGCTCGGATACGTGCTCGCCTGTCCCCTCTTTCATGGAGTCTGCGTCTAAGTAGACGTCTAAGTCGCACATTGAAGCGTCGTTGACTATTTAGTTGACTTGCGGCGCTTGGCGTCCTCGGCGCCGGCGACGCCGCCGCGAGGCATGCAGAGCCTGCGCTTCGCGCGCGCCGTGCGGCGCTCGACGTCCACGGCGCCGGCGCGCACGCTGCCGCGCGCGGCGCCCGGCGTCGTCGGCGCCTTCGCCGCCGGCGCCGCCGCGGCGACCTACGGCCTCTACCAGATCCGCGAGTTCGCGCGCGTCGAGGGCGCGCTGCCGTCGGACTCGTCGGCGCTGCTCCGGGCCCTGCTCCCCGTCAAGCCGCAGGCGCCGACGTTCGTGCGCGTCGTCGTCGCCGACGGCGCGGGCGCGCGGCGCGTCGTCCGCGTCGACGAGCGCGCGCTCGCCGCCGCCGCGGCGACGGCCGCGGAGGCGCTCGACGCGGAGCTGCCGGCGCTGCGCGCGCGGAGCCGGGCGCGCCTCGAGGCGCGCGTGCGCGAGGCCGTCGCGGGCTGCGGCGGCGCGGGCGGCGGCGTCGACGCCTTCGCGGACTGGTACTACGCGTACCGCACGGCCTTCGAACTCATGCGCGTCGCGGGCGGCGCCTTCGCGGCCGCGGCGGTGCTCGGCGAGCCGGCGGCGCACCGGTCCGCGGAGGCGGCCGTCGGGCGGCGCGTCCTCGACAAGTACGAGGCGCTCGTGCTGCGGCCCGAGCGCACGGAGCCCGCGCTCCGGGCGGCGCTCGACGCGGCGACGGCGGAGGCGCGGCTCGACTTCATCGCGACCGTCGCGCGCGCGCACGCGGACGCGCTCCCGCTCGTGTCCGCGGCGACGACGCACGTCGGCCCCGGCGCCGCGCGGGCCCAGCGCGCGGAGGTCTTGGTGGACTGGTCCAACTGCGCGCGGCGCGCGTCGGGCCTCGAGCGGTCCCACGAGCCGCGCGACGCGTCGTCCGCGGCGCTCCTCGCCGCCGCGGGCGCCGTCGGCGCGAAGCTGACGTCGTCGGCCGTCGCGTCCAAGGCGTCGGCCGTCGCGGCCGCGTCCGCGGGGTCCGCGGCCGTGCAGGCCGCCGCGTCCAAGGCGCTCGCGTCCAAGGTCGCCGCGCCCTTCGTCGCCAAGGCCGCGTCGGCCCTCGGCGCGTCCGCGTCGGCGGCGACGGCCGCGGCCGCGGCGGGGCCCGGAGCGGCCGTCGCGGGCGCCGCCGTCGGCCTCGCGGCGGACGTCGCGCTCGCCAAGGCCATCGCCCTCGCGCGGCGGCCCGCCTTCGAGGCCGACGTCCGCGCCGCCTTCGACGCGACCGTCGCCGAGTGGGCCAGCGGCCTCGGCGACGCCCTCGACGGCGCCTGCGACGTGTGGATGAACGACGCCATCCAGCTCACGACGGCCCGGGACGCGGACGCGCCGCCGCCGGCCGCCGCGGCCGCGACGCCCGCCGAGGCGCCGGAGGACGCGCCGCCGCCGGAAGGCGCGCCGCCGCCGCCGCGGGCGGGGGTGGACTAGCCCTAAGTTCAACGTCCCGAGGCTTGAAGGCGGACGTGCCGCTCGGAAGTAACTCCCTCCGCATCGCCGCGACGTGACATCACGTCGACGCGCGCCTCGACCGCGCGCCGCCGCCTCGACGCGGACGCCCTGGGCCTACAGGGACGACGATGCTCCAGCGCGGCGCCGCGCTCACGGACTTCCTGCTGGCTCTGACGACCTTCGCCTGCGCGTCGAAGCTCCTCCGCCTGCCGGCGCCGCGGCAGCCCTGGGTCGACGCCATGGCGCTGGGCCTCGGCTGCGAGGGCGTGGGCTGCGTCGCCGGCGGCCTGTCCTGGGCGTTGGGCGTCAACCTCGTGCGGCAGGAGGATCTGACGCTGGGCCAGTGGGCCATCGTGCTGACGACGGTGCTGGGCATGGCGAGCCAGGGCCTCGCGGTGCTCGTCGCCGCGGCGTCGTTTTTAGACCGCGACCGCGCGCCGTGGCGGCCCGCGGCCGCCGCGTTCCTCGGCGTGCTCTGCTACGAAGCGGGCTGCGTCTTTGCGCGCCTCGACGGGACGTTCGTGCTGCAGCCGGCGGGGCTGCCCATCGTCGCGTGGCCCGCGCTCCTGCCCGCGTGCGCGCGCCGCGGCGGCGGCGCCGGCGCCAAGGTCGCCGGCGGCGCGGCCCTCGTCCTCGCGGGCGGCCTCGTCATCGTCGCCTTCGACAACCGCTGCGGCGGGACGTCGTGCATCAGCGAGCTCGCGCCCTGGGAGCACCGGCCCTGCCTCGCGGCGACGACGGCGCTCGCGAGCTGCCCGTTCCCCGAGGCCTGGAACCACGCGGCCTACATGCA